ACCAAAGAAATAGTATTACTTCGCAAGACCTGTTATCTGGAACTGGTTCTTCCTTATATGTGAGATTTTCTTCTCTTTCAGCTCCACTGATAATCTTATAGCATAAGTTAAATCTGATGTCTATTTACTAAGCCTCGAACATATGGAATATAAGTTAAACTGATACCTTAAATATCATCCTAATGATCAATATGTGATATTCTCATCTTTTTTTTTTTCTTCCTCTCAAACCTTAGGAAAACTCAATTATTATTCCAATTTGACGTTTAAGATACTATTTTTCATGTTCTCCAAATCTTCACCTTATGCCATAATTTAAACTATTCTCTAATCACATTCTTTTTCTATAACAACGGTTACATATTAAGATCTAACAGCATTCTTTCGCCCATTTCGTCATACATCCTTCGAATATTTCAATATTATATATAACCTCAATTGTCATCACTAGTGTCTAGTTTTTATAATTATTCAAGTCTCATTTAATTAACCAATCATAGTTGATAGCCCTTCTTTTGAACTTGTTTTCATAGTGTCTGGCATTCTATTAAAAGAAGATGCACAATGTAATTTAATTATATAACTTCTTACAACTAATCAAAGATAAATACTCCAATTCCACCATGTAATTAACAATATTGTCTATATATAATTTTATAAATTTATCCTATGAACTGACTATATCTTTTAAAAAGAATCTTATAACCTTTATCAATGTATCCACAATGATTTAAATACTTTTTTGACTCCATTCCGTGTATTTGGAATCCCTAAACAAAAAATATTTGAGAGTAACTTCTTCCATTCTAAATTGAGAATATCTCCAAAAATTCAATTGTTCATGATTTTCTAAAATTCTAGTTATCCCCAACAAAACAATTGAGATAGCTCAATATGGTATTCTTTTCCTTAATTCTATATCACCCACTAAAAATATATACACAATTTTCATTTCCACCATTTCAAATAAAATCTACCTTAAAGTCTGATGATTGATAACTATTGATATTTCTTGTAATGTGATGACAAAATCCTAATATAACCAACTCCAAATCATGTTTTAATCACGCCTCTTCAACAATCTACAATATCATCCACAATTTATAAGTTTACTTCAGAATACTTTCTAGACCTCAACATAAATCATTATCCTGAATCAATCTCTTATCATCTTTAGATATGGAAGCAAATATTTCCTCATAATTTCTTGATAGCAAAACTTTTGACATTTCTATACTCGTATAAATTTTGTTCTTTCTTTCTATGAAGAGATAATAATAACATTTAATCATGAAAATCTATATTCTTATTCCATAAATGGGTCGTTGATCTATCATCAATGCATAATCCTTCTTGTATATCGCATAAAGACCTTTAATTGGGATAATGTAAACTAAAGATACTGTCCTACAACTGAATAAAATTATATTCAATGATCACCCTAAACTTCAAATTATTCGACATATTATCCATATATTCCATCGCAAACAGATATCAATAAACATAGAATACTTTATATGTGAAACCCAAAAATACAATCGAAAATCACCCAAAAGTTACATCACTAAAAATTCATTAAATTCATCTTAACTTCAAAAGTTAACTCAACGCTTCCAAATTATATGGAATATAACACAATAATCCAATGAATGGCCTTAACAAAATTAATTAACTCAATAACCCAAATCTACAATCACATTATTTTGCTATATGACAACCATTATATTCATTTAGATGCTATTCATCATATCATGTTATGATCATGTAACCTTGGTATTTATCGTCATATAGTATGACCTAAAACATTTAATTATATCAATTTTCCTTAAAATCACTAAATAATAACTCTCATATTTTTCCCGTGAACCTTTCATACATCAATATATCATCACGATTTCATATGTTAATTTTCCAAACTCAATAAATTCCAACTCTACCATTCCATACTCCTTTTTTACACATAAACATACCTGAATGCACATATCCATTTAATTCTATTTCTTCAGTAACAAATTATCCCATAATAAGTAATCATGATGAAGTATATCATCATTTTTTTCCTTCTCACATCCCTTATCATCAACATCTTATAAATAATTAAAGTAATTGGAATCACCCAAGATAATTAAAATTCCTCCCTGATTATTACCATACCATTCTCTTTTATTTAACGTGCCAACTATATCAAGTAATTCAACATATAAATTGATAATTAAGTGGGTTTACCATCTATCCCTTTGAATGCCTATACATAAACAACCTGTAAAATCATTAAAATATGTTCTACTTTTAATAGGTTAAATACATGACAATTTCGATCCAACAACTAATAACATTTCCAACCATTGGATCATTGCAACTATCATACTTGCATACTAGTCTTTTCTGGATCTGTTAAAAATATCTTTCTATCATTTTTGATTCCATAATTTTGAGCTTGAGAGCCTATGATTTCCGCCACTACGACATGTGACCATACGCACTAAATATGCACAATATGTCAACGCATGAATTACAAGGACTTTCAAAACTCTATAAACTGGGCTCTGATACCACTTTGACACGACTTGTTCTGAATCCTCATAGTGGACCCAAAACGTGACGTGCGTCGATGATAAATGCTGACTAGATGTCAAATCTATCACTAAAGCTGACTATGAATTACTTCAAAAAATACATCAAAATCAAATGCTTATGTAAAACATAATGCGATGGGCCCAAATTATTTACTTCATGCTTAATCAAAACAAGTTATAATATTCAATATGTCGTGTAGCTCTCAATTCGAAATCATTAGGCTCTTTCAGATAAAAAGAATCAATTGCTACCTGTAGAAAAAATTACGGGAAAATATATGAGTTGATAGCTCAGTAAGTGGAGGAGTTCAAAAATAATTATACTTTTTCAATTTTACATCTTTATCGAAAATTGAGTTCATATCATTAAATAACTCGAAAGATAACATTATATAATTATAGCCAAAACGTGAGACATTCACATAACATGGTAAAATATCATCTCAAGTCATGATATAAACATAAGCTGGTAATCATGCTATAATCTCATCGCATCAAATGTACTGAAAAATCCACAAAAAATGTACCATCTGACTAAAATTCGTAATTTGCCCCTCGGGCTAAAAACATTCGCCACAGGCCTTTGGCCCCCTCCGTGAACGAAACTCGATCTCAAGACCTCTGGTGATCAATTCTAGAACACGGCCAAGGCCCCTTTGTGAACTATATGTACACGGTCAAGACCCATTTGTGTAGCATAGAACAAGGCCAAGGCCCCTCTGTGAACTAGAAAAAATATATAATCATTGGTACTTTTCTGACCGATCTCAATATTACATGTCTCACATGCTAAACAAATCTCAATATCACGTCTTATATACCAAGTCACAAATATGCCATAAATAATCTTTGAGAATCCACATGTATCATAATAAAAGAGATTTCTATAATAATCATAAGATCGAACATATAATTGCAAATACTTTACTAATGTACTTAATTTATAAATACTTTAAAAATATTTAAGTTTTTCCACTCACAGTACTATGCAAAATCAACTCGATTGGTAAACTGTCCCGATATCCTTATCGCCGCCTGAAATATGATATAATTTTTAAATCAATTATTAATTATTTTAAGTAACTTCAATAATTAAATAGGTTATACCCAAACTTAATTATTTCACATTTAAGTGATTTCTATAGTCTCTTTAATCACTAAAACTAGTTTTTCTTTCACTTTATTCAATTTCATAGTTTATCATACTTAACTCTTTCAATAAAATTGAATTTAATCTAACGATCTGACAACTATAAAATTAAACATAACTTGACAATTAATAATTTTTTTACTTACCTTTCAAAATTGAGAAATTCAAACTTAATATTGGAAATCAGTTATTTTTAAACCACCTTGTCGAAATTTCTTTTTTTTCTCACTCTCTTCTTCTTCCTTCTTTTTTTTCCCCTCTTTCTTTCCTCTTTTCTCTTTCTTTTCTCCCTGCTCTCGGCTTCTCTCTGTGTAAATGAAATGGATTTGTTTTATATATATATATATATATATATATATAAATTCATCAATATTTGGATAAGGTAAAACTAATATTGGATAATTCATTGAATTTATGTACTATATTTTTATCTTCATGGAGAGAATGAATCATGTATTACAATTGTGACTATTGCATCAATTAGTATAGATTAAGAAGTTAAAATATTTCGATCATATTGTTGCATTATAACGATTAGAATTATAGAACTTTGGTTTGTAATATTTTTAATGAAATTATTTATGGTTCTACGTGAAATTTTAGACTTATATTTATAATTTACCTTGTTAGTGGCATTTTGACCAATCTTTGGTTGACTCGTTTTAATTACTTACTAAGGTATTACACTTTTCTTGTTTCCCGCCTTGGGCAGCACATACAGGAACCGTGTAGAATTATCCAATTGGCAAATATATAAGAGCGGCCAGATTAACATTTTATCCATGCTATGCGATGGAGTTAGACACAATAGAAATGATGTACATAAAGTATATGCAAATACTAACTCTCTATCGAACTGAGCAATGAGAGCTTCAAATGTTGCTCTTCTTCATGGATCCTTCCTTGCATGCCTTCCAGCAATAGCATCTATCTCATCCACAAATACAAAAGCACGAGCCTACACAATTGACTGGTAAATTAGTATGTGTTTCTTCCTAAAACTGAAATGATCTGAGTGTGAGCATGTGCATAGTATAGTGTATGTATGCATGCATGTGAAAAGCACAAGGTCTTATTCATTTGCAGCCACATATCTTGAGTAGTGGTCTCCCGATGATGGCGTTGTAGGCAATCGGAGCATGGACTACATGGAAGGGAGTGACTTCTGTCACCTGCTTTTGTCCTGATCCCAACGTTAGGGGAAGATCAACGATTCCTTTCGGGATGATTGTTCTACCCCAGAATCCCTGGAGCGGTATTTTGATTGCCTTGAACTAGTTAATAGAAATACCCATCTTCATGAAGGCATCTTGAGACAGCACATTGACCACACTTCCATTGTCAACCAAGACCCTCCTCACTTCAAAGTTGGCGATGATGACAGATATGACCAAGGCATCGTCATGGGGGTATGATATGTCTTCTGAGCCCTCCGATCCAAATGTGATATCTTTCATGTCATTGGGAGCTATTATTGGTGTAGAACTGTGTCATCGGGCATATTGTTTGCGCCCACTATTTCAATCTCCTCCCGAGGCAATTCCACCGATTATAATATTGATAGTACCTGCTGTTGCTTGTTACCTTCCCCAGATTCTGTAGTCTTCCCATTGTTACGATCATTCCTGTGACGCTTGTCATGCCTCATATACTCCTTTAGGAATCCTCTTTTTATCAAAACTTCAATCTCACGTTGTAATGTTATGCAATCCTCTGTTGTATATCCCTGGTCACGGTGGTAGTAACAGTACTTGTTCTTGTCCCTGGTCTCAGAGGGAGACCTCAACCTCGGTGACCACTTGAACTCCTTCATATATTTGATTGCCATCAATATGTTCGACCTAAAGGTGTTCAAATGAGTAAGTGTTGGTGGTGTGCCCTGCTTCTGCTTTCCTCTGGTAACGTCTTGTTGTAGATACAGCTCACGTGGCCTCTTATGCTCGGCCCCATCATAAGTCAGACCAACTCTCCTTGGATTCAATGTTTCTTCCATATTAATGTATTTCTCCTCGGGTCAGAAGCTCGATCACTGACTTGGGGGAGTTTTTGACAAGCTCATCTTGAATGCCTCACGTCTTATAGCATGCGCGAGGGCGAAAACTGCTACTGTGATATGGAGATCGGGGATCCGAAGTCTTTCTTTATTAAACATTTTCATGAAGTCACGCAGGGTTTCATTCTGCCCTTGACGAAGTTGCATGAGGGAAGCCACTGTCTTTTTTATGCGCTTACTACTGGAAAAGCCAGTCCCTGGCTGCGTGGGTCAATGTTTGAGGAAAAGCTTTGCACATCACTTGGTCTGGGTCAACTTATAGCTTCATGACGTCGGTATAGATATTGAGATGGTTGATAGGGTTGATAGTTCCATCATATTCTTTTATACAGGGGTACTTGAATCTGTCCGATAAGGGGAATGATAATACATCAAGAGCGAACAGGGTGTTAGAGGTAAAGCCTGTTGCACCCTTAGCCTTCTGCATGAGGCTTGTCGTAACTCCCTCTTGAATGATCGTGGCGAGTTCGCCAGACTCTGTCGTTACTTTTCCTAAGTTCGAGGCCATATGGGGTATACCCAAGGTTCCAACCCCACTCTCGTCAAGAACGGGTTGTGGGGCCCAAACGCGAGCATCCGTTACAAAATCACCTTCAGGCATCGGTGTATGTGATGGGCGAGAATTTCTCTGGCTCAATAACTGAGTTAATGTGGCAACTTGTTGGCGGAGCTCTTCGAAAGCTTCAGCGATAACGAAGGCTAGCTGAGGAGCTGGCATCTCTGATGATTCTTTTTGAGGGACATGATGACCTTCAGGGGGACGGGGAGGATCTGGAATGGATGAGCTTGCTGGAGGAAGACCTGAACTTGTGTTCATCATGGCTTTTGGTAGCATTTCCCACAAATTTCACCAATGATGCTACCAAAAATTGTACCTGGTAGACCTCCCGAACTTGATGACTAAGAAAGAGCACTAACAGAGCCTTCCAGTACCTAAAACAAAGGCAATGAGATGTGTTCTCGTCGCCCCTCCGATGCTTAAGCCAGACAAGAAATTTATATGAGAATGTATTCTAAAATTGTATGAAAAAATGTATTTATATAATGGACTTGGGTTATGCATTTATAGAGGTAGGTAGTGTACTCCTAGTAGGATTGAATTAGTTGGATGTTCTTATCCAATAGAGTCCTACTTGAGAAGAGTATTTTATTTGTAATATAATTACATGACCAATGATGTTATTGTTGACATAGAGTGCTTGTGGGCGTAGGAGTCTTGGGTTGAGGTATTTGCATCATGTTAAGAGTCCTTAGAAGGTAAGACTTCTTAAGGGCTTGACAAAATGGGAGTTCGGTATGAAGTGAATAGCTCTAGAACTCATGAACCTCGTATATCAAAAGGATGCTCGAGGACTTACGCCCGAGGAGACTACCGAGCAGATCACAATGATGCAAGTCATCACTCCTCGGGTGTATTACCCTGAGGACTCGGGGGTATTACCCTGAGGACTATGTGCCCCAATATGTGATGAGCAAGACCATGTGAGTCCTTAGGAGAATCAAATCGGGAGGTTGTCAAAAGTGACTACATCATTAAGGATTGACGGGAAAATGTACAGTATGAAATTTCCATATACACATTCATAGAAAATACTAAACATACAAAGGACATAATTATCAGTCTATAAGTAAATTTGGTATCCATACAATTAGATAGAAAGTATGATTCTAGTGAAACTAACATTCATTTTATTTCAGTTATTTGAAACAACTAACATGTAATCAAATCAATGTACCATAATTTTGTTCTGAAATCAAAAATTATTGCCTTGTGTTCACGCTCAGGTCATCAGTCGCCTAATCACTTTGACAATTACTTTTGTGGTGGGACATGGCAAATGTTAGTGCGAGTAACAAAGCTTGCCTGTTACAAAGGAAATTGTAGAAAATCATTTTAGGACCAATGTATTACAAAAGAAGAAGGTAGTAAAACAAAAGAATTCTCAAGAAAAAGCAACACATGAAACATAAAAAAAAAACATATCTTTTGAGAGGAACACTAAAGACAACATTTATACAATTCAGATTCTTCTAAAAATTTAAAACGAGCTCAAAATGTGGAAGCTTTTGACAATCCAAGAGTTACAATTATATAATTTCTTACAACCTTGTACATATATCAAATGGGGCCATAATTACATAGTTGAATTAGTTACAGTTTCGAAAATAAATAACGATAAAACATAGAATGCTCTTTGATGTGAAAAATGCTTAATGGAACCAAAACAATAGATGAATACATCTTGAAAATTATAATACGTGAATCTAAGAAACGATCTTTTTCAACCTTGAGATATTAAGCTTTATTTTCATACTTGCTTATTAATTTGAGCTTATAAGTGGCGTAGCATTCCAATAGTCCTAACTTCCTTAATATTGACATGAAAAAGAAATCTGCCATTGAGACGATTAGCACATACCAACAATGTCATAAGAATTTGTTCACTATCCCTAGTTCGATCAATCTATCAATTGTGTAGGGCAAAACAATTGAGCAATAAGAAACATGTCCCTAACATTTTAAATTATTAGAAAAAAAAACGTGTTTGCAGGTTTTACCTCTTCATTAGCTTGACTTCCCGTCACTGAGATTCATGAAAAAAGATATTGTTAATTGAATAGAGAGAAAGGAAGCTATTACACAGAGTTGCACAGGTTCATTTCATATGATAAAGGTTAAAAACTTGTGATTACATGCTTCTTGACAACTTCATGATACTCTTGATGGATATTTTGCCTTAAAGCCTATAGAAAAATATTATTAAGAGATATTGAGAAATGGAAAGAATTGGAAGAAATTGAAACCTTTCCATTATATCGTGTATCCAATTTACCTGGAATTCAGACATCTTGTCTTTGGACTTCTTCAAGACCCGACATTAAAATATAATCACTTCCTTCACATATTCTCACATATGCATGTCTTCAAATTAAGATCTGAGAGATATTTAAATCAAGAAAAGAGACTGACAACCCCATTAAGTGATTTCCTTGACCATGTTATTGTCAAAATTGAACCAAATTACTCAAAAATTCTAAAAAAACCCATAAAGGAAGGGCCAAAGGGCAAAAAAAAATGCAACATTAACACGAAAAAAAATTAAAAAAATAATCGAAACAATAGCCATTGGATGAATAGACAGATCTCCATAAAAAGAAAAAAGAAAAAAAGGGTATTAGAAAAATTCTCTTTCGTGGAAACTCCAATAGCATTGCAATATAAGATTTTTACAAAAGGAAATCTAAAAGTCATACCCGATAGTCTTTTGAAGATACAAGAAAATGATTATATCGAATTCTAAGTTTGAAAAGGATAATTACATTTAAAAAATTTCCATCAAGAAAAAGGGAAAGAGGGGAGAAAATGGAGTTTTGAAGGGAAAATGAGAGGGGAAAAAATCTATTTCTAAATAATGTAGCTGGTAAGCAAATGAGTGAATTTCATATTCATCATTAACATTTAAAGAATGTTTATTCTCTTTGGCTAAGAATTATTGGCTAGAACTATGCAGGGAATGCACGGATTTGAGATTCCATAGAACCAAATCCTTTGACAAAAATTGATTCAAAAATCTATCCTTTGTATCTGGTGTAATGAAATAGCAATTACCTCATAATAGATGAATTTGGACAATTGATGAAAATTCTACTAGAAAAATAGAAATTCAATCTCCTCCATAATATGAAAAAACTTGAAAATTTTCAAATAACTTCCCGTTCGTTCTAACTTATCTTTTCTCCACGATTAGATGGTTTGGTGTTAAAATCCTTCCCATTTCCAACACAATGTAGACCCATTTATAAAAAAAATAACCCATCAATTTTCACTTTTGTCTCTTGGCACAAATGATTGCATCACTATTTAAAGATAAAATAAGGTAAAAAAAATATAAAATCAATCGACACTAAAGTTAATCAACAAAATAACCGAAATTTAATTCATTTATTAGCAAAAAACATTGATTCAATTCTTTCTTTCTGAAGTTGCTACTTTTGTTTCTCGAAAAAGGCATCAGTCCTATGTTGTTAAGCCTTTGTTGTTAGGGACCACAGAGAAGAATGTAAGTAATTTAATCGCTTTCTCCTCTCTCTATTTACAGTTACTAACTAAAAAAATGAAATAATATCACCTGTTTACAAGTACAATAATTTTGTTATGGTTTATTTGCACAAGTTGCGACGAATATCGAACGGGTTAAACAACCAACAAAAAGCAATAAAATGGAATGGAGAAATCAAATAAAATACAAACAGATAACAGACGATGAGAATGAATTATTTGTATAAAAAACAAATATGAAATCGATGTTAGGATCTTCCTCTAGCTGCTCAAGGTGATTTTCGGGCTCAGTTAACCATTAAACATCGAATCAACACCAAGAAACCGAAGAGGGACCGACCGCCAGGCGTGCTTTCTTCCTATGGTTGCTATTGCTCCTTTTGCTTGTTGTTTCCTCACTCACTTAGGATGAATACCACACAGGTAAGGGTCACAAAGACTCGAGCAAGAGGTAGAGAAGATCAAACAATAGGGTGCACGAAAAAGAAGAAGGAACTACCTTTCTTTCTCTCTCGGGTTCTTTCTCACGAGACTCTTAGGAAGAAAGAGAGTTACCAATATATATAATAGTCCAATGACAAACTTAAGGTAAGTTATAATATGGTAAGTAGGCTCGACTAGGGTTATGGCCCAATAGCACACCAACAAGCCACAAAGGTTATTAGACATCCAATAGGTAAAACAACGCTAGGTCGGGTCATCCCATTATTCGGTGTTGATTTATCGTTCAGTCATTCATGTCGACTGATAAAACTGGTTTTCATCATCGCCCGAGAGGTCGTTTGACAACATGATGTCTAACAACCTCTACCTTGGTGTCAAAGGACCTGTAAAGAAAAAACGTTTTTCATTAGTGACACCTCTAACAGAAAACCGATAA